CAGGTGTGATTTCTCACCCCCTCCCCTGTCTCCAGTGAGTATAAGCACCCTGTAGCGAAGTGCACGTGACCTGATAATAAACTTTCTCAAACTCATTTTTAAAGATGTGCGACTGATATTGGAACATCTCAGGACAAGAGCAGGGTTAAGTAGAAATGCCCCGCATACTAGGAGAGAGCAGATAGCGTGAGAGGGATGGATACTTGAGTAAACTCAGTTCCTAATGACAGGAAGTAGATAAAAATACAAAGTGAGGACTGAGTGAAGAGAAGGGAGTATAAATATGCAAGTGTTAAAATTGAGGTTTTTGTTTTCTTTTGAGAGATTCTTGCTTTAGGGCACAAGTGCTTGCCAGAGAGACAGAGAGAGAGAAAGCAAGAAATCTCCTCCCCGGGGTAATGGCCACCCCACAATCCCTTCTCCTTCATTTTCCTCTCAGGATTTTGAACACACACGCACAGGTGCTGGGCATGATTTTCAAGCTGCCAGGTCCAGGACTTGAAACGTAGTCGGCCCTGGGAGAGTCCAGCCACCTTAACCACCATGTCACCTGCCAGTCCCCAAAACTGAGGTTTTAAGAAGATATTTGCACACTCATGCTCGAAGCAATATTCACAATAGTCAAAAGTTAGAAGCAACGTGTCTACTAACAGATAACTAGACAAACTAAGTGTTTGTGTGTGTGTGTGTGTGTGTGTGTGCAGTAGAATATTATTTATCCTTAAAAAGGATGGAAATTCTGACACATGGCATAACATAGATGAACCTTGAAGAAATTACACTAAATAAAATAAGCCAGTCTCAAAAAGACAAATTTTGTAAAATTCCACTTATATGATGTACTTAAAGTAGTCAAATTCATAGAATAGAAAGTAGAATGGCAGTTGCCAGGGGCTGTGAGGGGAAGGACTTATTGTTGAGGACAGAGTTCCAGTTTTATGACATGAAGAGTTATGCACATAGATGCAGCAATGCTTGCACATCGTGAATGTACTTAACTACCACTGATCTGTATACTTAGAAATGGCTAAGAGGGTAAATTTTAGGTTGCATGTATATTTTCATGATCAAAAATAAAAATATTTGTATTTTTAAGCAAATGAAAACAACTTCTAAGTGTCAGGAAAAAAGAGAAGGGAAGTAAGTGCTGCCTATTGTATGACTGCGCCTAGGTCTTGTCCTAATTCTGCCACCAAAAGGGTTAGAAGAAACAGAAATGGTTTTACAACTATTCATGAAATTTAAATTGTTCATGCTAGTAATAATATTACTGCGTTAGAACCCAAATCCACAGCAGATTGGAAATGGCATAAATATAATAGAAATTTTTCAGGTCAGCCCCATGGCCTACTGGTTAAGAAAGCTGGATTCCACATGGCCAACTGCAGTTTGAATCCCAGCCCTGGTGGGATTCAAAACATACTAGATACAAGTTCACGTATGCCCAAAATCCCCACAAGATGAAGAAAGGGAGGAGAAAGAGTTGTGGTGTGAGTGCACACTTCCACCCTGGAGGAAGTGCTTTCTCTCTCTCTCTCTGTCTCTCTGAAGATTGCATGGTCTCTTGGCAATTAAACGAAAAAAGTAATAGGAACTTTGTAAGCATTTGCTACTCAGAATATAGTCTGAGAGTATCTCAGAAATGGGCAATCTCAGCCCCTCCTGGACCTACACACTCAGAACCTGCACTTTAACAAATTCCCAAGTGACTTAACTATCCATTAAGGTTTGAAAAGCACTGTTTTAAACTTAAAAAAGAAAAAAAAAGGAATCATTTATTTAATTTTATTTAGTCATTCACTTATTTTAACTTGACCAGAGAGAAACACAGGGAGAGAGAGAGGGAAAGTGAGAAAGCAAGTCACCAGGTCCGGGTCTCAAACCACCGTTGGCCATCTGAGAGTGTCCAGCGCCTTAACCACCACACCACATAACATGCTGGTCCCCATACTGTTGTAAACTTTTGAGAACTGAGAATTGAGCAAAACATAGCACTTGGTCAGTTGAGATGGAAGGAAACATGTCATTAAAGTCACCTTACTGGATTATGAGCTAAACTGAGAAAAAGGTTCCTGTTTTCTTATTCTGTTGTCTTCAAAAATAATTAATGCCAAATCCACTTATTGTCTTCAACACAGAAAATGCTTAAATTGAAACACCAAGTTGATTAAATGTGTCAATGACATTTTTTGAAGATTCTATATAGTAGCTTTCATGGAAGTGAAATGATTGTTTAAAAGCAAAAAGTTAAGCTCCGTGCTCTTATTTAGTGGCTAAGGGTAGATTTGGTAGGTTTGAAATTCCAGAAACTCATCATTACAGCAGAACTAATGCATGGGATAGTAACAGAGTTGCCAGAGAAAGTAGTGACCCTCTTCAATGTTTGCGAACAATAAAATTCTGGTCACTAGTAATGTGAGAAAACCCATTAATACCCACAGCCAACTGGATTCACTTACTGGGATTAAAATGAGACACCAAAAAGAAAGAAAAGAAAGTTCCAATATGTTCATTGACTACAAGAGGAAAACATTTTTGATGAATATAAATATTCAAAATACAAAATGGAATAAGAAAGACAGAAAATCCATGTTTGGATTAAAATCTTTTCACTGGGATTTTTTAATGTGGCTTTTATTCTAATGTGTTTCACTTCTTACCTCTGAAGCAGTTTGATTCAATAAGTTTATACTTAATGCTCAACACAAAAAATAAGTTTCTGATAAAAAGATAAAAATTACTAACCTAAAAAGTAGAGCTGTCTAGGAAGGAAAACGATGTCTCTGACACCAAGGCACACTTGGCCAGAAAACACTTTTCCACTCACTGATCATCTTCAGTAGTTATTAACATCTCTGCCTGCTTTCATTTTCTTTTCCTTTGGCGAAGTTCCATCCCATCCACTCTGCCTTTTGCAATGTTAAAAGAAAGTAAATTGGACGCAACAAAATTAAGCATTATTTTACAAGTACAAACTGAAAATCGGCCTAGAGCTTGGCTTGTTTTTGAAACTAATGCTCATCTTAAACAACAATTCAGAGAGTCTCCTCAAATTTCATGAGCTCATCAGTGGCAAAATCATTTTTTAAAGTTTTTAAGAATAGGAAAGAAATTCTTTAAACCACTGAATTGCTTGGCATTTTCCACATGCCCACCTAGCACATTCCCAATGGGGCATGGTCACATCTCAATCCCTTTTCCTCAAATTGTCCACGCCCTAAGGATTTGGGACAGGTATGCACAGATGCCTACTAGGGCCAGGATTTAAACTATGGTCAGCCATATGGAATCTAGCCCCCTTAACCACCAGGCCATAGGACCAGCCCCCTCCATGGCAATCATTTAAAAAATAAAAAATTATTTATCTATTTATTTGTTGGGCTCAAACCACAGTCAGCCATGTGGAAATCTTGCACCTTAACCACCATGCCACCTACTGGCCCTATCTCCATGGCAACCTTTTTTTTTTTAATTATTATTATTATTACTTTGCTATAGGATATGTGCACTCACCAGAAGAGACAGAGAAAGGGAAAGTGAGAAAGCAAGCCACCAGGTCAGGGACTCAGCTACAGTTGGCCATGTGGGAGTCCTACGCCCTTACCACCATGCTACTTGCTGGGCTTGCCCCCTCACCCCATGGCAATCTTATAGTGAGACATTTGGTTTCTGTATTAAGATGACTAGGACATTTTAAAACTTGGTTTGAGGGTCCACAGGTAAGGCCTTAAGGGAAGATTTTGATATTGTCACAAATGTCCTACTCTCATTTCACCAGTCAAGTGGAACAACAGTTACCATTTTGTGGAGCAAAACAAGAAGGTGACAAAGGAACTTAAAACAGGAGAGGGAAGGTGTACAAATCCAGAAGCCACCCTCATCCTATGATAAACATCTGCAGGCTTCAGCAACCTTTGGTTGAAGCAATTTGACTAGTAAATATTTTTACCTCAGAAGAGAACTACCCTGAAAGCCTGAAACACTGGTGCAAATGTGGGAGGCATTCAGCTGAAACTCAGGGAACGGCTGGGAGTTCTGACTGGCTTGCTGTCACCAGTCCTTCACAAACGGCCGTGGAATGCAGAGTCAAGGTGGGGTCTGGGTACTGTAGTGGGCTGAACTAACTGTACCTTACAAGGGAACATGCTTTGTGGCCCCTAACAACCTAAAATCAGACTTCAAAGAAACCAAAAACATTCAAAGGATAGTTCCTTTCCTAAAAGGGAAGTTTAAGCTCTCCCTCCCCCATACCCTTACTGGTGAAAAGAAACTAGGATGCGGGAAGTTAAAAATAAATCTGTTCTTGGGGCCAGCAGCGGTGTGGTGGCCAAGGCACTGGACTCCCACATGGCTAACCATGGTTTGAGTCCTTCTCACGTCCCCTTTCTCTCTTTCTCTGTCTCTGTCTGGTCAAATTTTAAAATAATAATAAAGAAAGTAAAATAAATAATTCTTAGAAAAATAAATCTAGTACAAAATTCAAATAATATAAATGAAAACTTGCACTTGGTGTTCTTCCTAATTAACTCCATTTTGTCCAATTACATGAAATGAAGATTCTATAAACATACACACAATCCTATGTTCTCATTAAAGCTATTTTTGCATCAGTCATAAACAGCTCAATTTGTATACCCTCTAAAATGCAAACTTAAAGCACTATATGCATTCTCTTATAGCCCTCAGTGATCATTAAGAGCACTTGAAAATCCGTAGAATCATAAACAAAGAACCAGTTCACAGACACTAGCTTTTTCATCTAGACAGAGACAGCTATTTGCTTCAGCAAATACCAGGTCTTTTGGAAGACAGTGTCAATTTTATTGCTCTTTAAAATGCTATGTAAAGCATGGAACTTTGCAATTTGCACATTAAGCAATTACCATCTTTAATGTTAAATATATTTATGTGAAAAGAAAAAGTACATGCATACGAATATATAGAATTTTTATAAATCACCACCATTTACATTAGAAATTTCTTTATACAAACATCTTGGGTTTTTAAAAAAAAAAAATTAGGGAATGGCAAGAACCCTCTGAGACTGCAAAAAATCCAGGTTTCTGTTTAAGCAGCCTTTCACTGAGAGACGTGAGTGATGGCAGATGAAGGCCTCTTAAGAATAGACTCAACGGAAAATGACAGCGGTTCATTCGCTGACAGTTTTGTTCCAACTTGTTTGGCTACGAAAAGGTCTTTTGCACATCTATCTATTGTAAATGTGTACTTCTGGTTCTCCTTGACTAAACATTCTCTGTGTTTCTTAGGGGTCTCTTCAAAGGCCTCTTTGACAAATGGTGTTTTCAACTCAGGTCCTGAATTGTCATTAAGCGTCTGTTGGAGTAATGAGTGGAATGGATTATGTTTAAGTGGCAGAGGGTGCCTAGTGTTTTCTTTGCTGATCTTGGTTAAGATGTGTCCTTGAGCTGCCAGGGAGTCCGTGTCAACAATTGGTGAGAAATTCCGTCGGGGTGGGGAGAATGCAGACCTCTCAGGGACAGCCGGGTGACCCTGAAGGTCATTTCTAGAGGTCTGGACCTCAGGAGTGGGAGGCAGCACCAGAGAGCCTTCCAATTTCAGTGGCATCGGGTCGTGTTCTGCACCAAGTCCCTCATGGACTTGGGCTCCCTTTAAGTCCCAGCCCGTCCCAGGTTTCAGGGCTTGCACTGAGGTGGTAGCATTGAGCAGGCACTGCTGGTAAAGGAAGGTGTCACTAATGGGGCCACACTTGGGCCACACGAAAAATCGTGAGGACAAGGGATACTGTCTGTAAGTTGTGGCCACACTGACATTGGAAGAAATAAGTTCCATATTTCCAGACCCTGAATACTGCATGGTCAGATCAAGGCAGGTGGGTAAAAAGTTGCAGAAGTCCTTGCTTGGTGGTTCCCCTGGAGTGGGGCTGTAGGCATTTTTGTAGGCATTGTATTCAGGACCAGGAACCATGCGGTTGGGCAGGAACAAGGCAGCAGCTTGGGAAGTTTCCAATATTTCCCTCTCTTTATATTCTCTCTCCAGCATTATGTTTTCCAACTCCTTATCGGCAAAGGCTCTTCTTTTCCTCATCCTGTCACTAACTGGGGGAGGCAGAGGTAAGGTTCCTCCTACATAAGTATCCACTGGAATGGGGCGGTAGCCTAAAACAAGCAAATATCATACATGAAAGAGAATAGCATCAGGGAAGAAAAATCTAGACATCGTGAAGGCAACTACAAATGGGAAGAATGATTTACAGTTCACTGTTATTTTTATACAGAAAGCAAAAGTATAGGTTCAACTTAAAAGAGTTGCCTTTGGGAGGAAGGTATCCATAGTATAACTCTTCGTTATTGTTGAGATTGTTCTCACAGGTTGGTTTGCTTGCTTGCTTGCTTGCTTGCTTTGACAGGTGGAATTTGCTGATTGAAATTTTACTATTCTTCCCAGACCTCTACACATTAAGAAACAAAGCTACTCATCTTACTTCAATCAAGGTTTTATTATTATCCACGTTATCTTTTTTTCATTATTAAAAAAGACATCTATACCTAGAGCTGACGTCACTTTTATTTTCTAAAGGTGGCTCACTCATTATGTACACATTGTTACAGGTGTAGAATAATCCAAGGAGAACTAGGGAAAAAGAGAAAGAAAGTTAAAGGAGATCAGTGAGGAGGAAAAGAGAAAAAGACTTATAAGGAGGCAGAGAAACACAGAGAATTGAAAAGAGCTGTGAACTAGTCAAACCCACTCTGCGGTGAATAATTTAACCAAGCCCTTTCTCCTGACAAACAAAACAAAACCCCCAAATGAGAAGGGAGTCCATGCTACGTTGAAAGTAACTAGTCTAAAACATTTTTCCCCAACCTCTAATCATGTTGGCCAGATACCAAAAACAGTTGAACAAGCAATCATTAGAATACAGACTGAGTCATTGCACATTTCATGAACAGGGACAAAGTCGAAAACATAGATTTGTATAACATAAATAGAATTCCTGGCAGCATAAAATACTTTGAGTGTTTCATCAGCCCCAAGCAGTCACCACTATCAAATTTGTTTGAAGGATCCATTGTGATACTTGTGTTTACACAGTGACAAACCCATCATACTCATTTGCAAATAAAATAATATAAAATTTGAAAATTAATGTTTCTATCCCTACAGTAAGTTTTTGCCAGGAAACTATTTACTTGAATTAACTATTCCATTTACTCCTCACGCTTCTCAAACGGCTTTGGCACAAGTTCAATTTATCAGTGTGGTCTCGATGTTATAAATCTGTTTACTCAGTTTGTAACCAAATTCATTTTTATTTTTAATTCGTGAGAAACCACTCTAAGGTCAGAAGTAGACAGCACAGACTGAGACATGAATGAACTTTAAAACCTATCCAGGACCAACCAAATTCAGAAGCTACAGAAGAAAAAAAAGAACTCAAATGTCTACTTTAAAATAATCAGTTTGAATTTCATAAAGCAGCAGTGATTAAGGCAAATATAAACGTCCCCTGTACCTAAGGTTAGGGTGAATTTAAAGAAAAATGGTGAAGCAGAGTCAATATATTATTTGGCAGGACAATAAATAAGTTCCATACCCACATGAGGATACATTGGAAAATTCTGAAGAAAAATGACTGTTTCCCCAGGCTTTAGAGAAAGTGAAAGTGAGGAAAGAGAGATTGAGAAACTTCACACCATCAAGGTCAACCTCCATTTCGCTTGCTTAATTTGAAACCTTTTTCAGACTCTAGAACCTCAACGGTCAAAAATTGTAAAATGAAGTGTGGAATAACAGCAATTAATACCCAGATAATCCATGCAGGAAAACGGTACATGGAAAAAAGTGGGATCTGAGGTTGAGTGCCGTCCAGACCAGAGGTCTTTATTGGTCAGGGGTAGCTCTTAAACGTGATTCACTCTGTCCACACAGCTGTGACTACAACTCAGAAAAGTGGGTGTATTTTTTTATTTTAAATCTTTCTTTCCTGCTAGGACATCTGCTAGGGAATCACTTGGCAGTGTATTTTTGCACATCCCTCAAACGGGGACAAATTCCACAAGTGTTCCACGTTAACCCAGTCACTATTCAACAGCCCACAAAATTACCAGTATTCATCAACTGATGGGGATGAAAACCGGACAGCTACGTGAGGTTCCTTTTCCCCATCTTGGTTTTCTTCTTGGTGGAAAACTTCCTAATAAAGAGTACCTTCCCCTCAGATGGCTCCTTCACAGGTTAGTAAATATGCAGGTGCCTGCACCACTAGGTTTAAAAGGTTAAGTGATAATTGGGAGTTGATTTACCTTCTAAAATGCTTTTGGCCAGCAAACTGGGTGCCCTGACTTGCCTCTGATACACGGTTTTGCGCTCAAAATTATTCTGTTTCCCGGAAAGCCCCTTCTTGTCCTGTAAACACAGAAAACATAATCCATAACACTCTGGAAGGAGCTGGGAGTGAAAGACAAGGGAGAAAGAAGGGATGTCAGCAAATCCTCCAGAAACTCTCCCCCCTCCCCATGAAAAATGATTCCAAATGAAATTTCTATCAGCATCCCTTAATCCGAGAGCAATGAGGACTCCTTCCTAAATCACCTACTGGTGAGCAGGGCCCCCGGCTTTCTCTAGCAGTCACCCCAGACTATCCCTACAGGAGACCTGCAGCAGAGGAGGGGGGACATCTCAAAGAGCAGTGAAATCAGTAGCCCAGAGACAGCAGGAGTCCGGCTTCTCAGATAGGACCTCGCGGAGGTCTGGTCCTGGGCCACTTAACGCTAAGGCCAAAGGTGCCCAGGGCTGGCCAGTGCCGGAGCAGCAACGGGGACCTGTTTCTCCGCAGTAGTTGGGCCAGATGGAATGCTAGGGGATGAGGGGAACATATGAGGGTCTCCCTGGTTCTCCGCAAACTCCAGATTGTTCCCTGGACTCCACCGGCGCAGGAAGGGAACAGAACCCTTGCCGATAGCACTCTCACCCCCCTGCCAGTGTGTGACAACAAGGCCCTACCACGCCTGCGTCCCACCAGCTGGCAGTGGGGAACACTGGACCCGCGAGGACTGAGGCCCAAAGCCGGAGGTGGCTGAGCCGAAAAGCAGGGCCACCTGGACGAAAAGTGCGCTCTCCCCGCCCGCCCGACGCTTTCTGCTGCGGTCACTGCCTTTGGCGCCTATGGGGACCCACTCTCCAGCCCCTCTCGGTCAAAATGTGGAGTAATCCTCCCTTACCCTGAATCTGGACGGAGGCTCTGCGACGCTTGCCTCCCTCCGTTCTGAGCTCTCGGAGTGCAGAAAAGCAGGGTAATAAATACCAACTCCAGAGCCTCTCGTAAAGAGAACCTTCACTCTCCCAACTGGAGCCTCGCGGTGGATAAGACAGGGGTCCTTCCAGGGGTTCTCCCCCATTTTAAGTAAAGTAGCTCCGGGTTGCATGAGCTCGGGCTACGGGCATCTAACTCCCTCTTTATTTTCTGCCTCTTCTGTAAAAGGGGCAGCACGTTCTGCCTATTTCAAGCGACCTGTGACAACCCAAGGACTGCGTGTTCTGAGTGCAATGCCGTCCTCTCGCCATCCCCGACACGATCAGGTGCAGGGAATAAACCGCATGCTGGACGCCTGCGCTAGATCGATTACTCTTCCCCCGCCCCCACCACCACCACCATCTTTAAAACACAGGAAATAGAAATAAAAATACTTTATCATCATCCCCAGTGGGCCTAATCCAAGTCCTCTCGGCCTGCTTTTTAACATAAAAACTTTCCTGCTAAGTTCCTGAGCGACGTCCAATGCCCACGCTTCCTCCCTAGCCTGCAGCCGGCGTGGGCAGAGAAGCGCCCTGAACCTCCCTTCCGAGGAAACGCCACGCTGCCCAAGGCCGCCGGCACCGCAGTGTGGCCGGCCGCCGCCGTTCTCCGACCCCCCGCCCCCGGGCGGGGC